CCCGGCAGCGGCTTTATGTTCCGTGGCAACCCTGAGAGCTTAATGAGCCTCAAGCAGGAGACCGCGCGTTACCGGAGTGAAGTTTCTCAGGTCGCTCTTCGCTGTGCTATCACACTCGAGACCACACAATCGAAACGACTGAATGGAAAAGGCTGAAAGAATATCAGCCTGCTCCGGTCACTTTGGGTGGCCCTTGGGCCAGAATTATGAATATTCCCTCTCCCAGCGACCAAGCCCCTCCTATTTCCAACTACAGAGGTGTCGCTGAAGGGTAACTGATACCTGTCCGTTGCGAGTAAGTAGCCTGCTCCTTGATTCAAAGCATTCCGGACGTGTTCATCTCAACCAGACTCCTTACAGGGATCTGCAATAAAGAAAACTTGGGTGGGGCTTTGTTGGGTTGGTACTCCGTAGAGAGGAACCACTCTACTGGGTATCGGAGGTACTAAGCTTTTCGGTTGCAGAGTCGTCGCAGCAGCCCGATCAAGTTCCGAGGGGTGTTCCTGGCAGATCGCAAGAGCTGCTCAGGACTCCCCATGATGTCAGACCCCACGAATCCTACCAAGGGCACATGATTCACCAGCCAAGACAATGCTAATTTGTATGTTTCATGCCCCAGCATTATTCTTCCCTGGTTGTTGCAGATCGTGAAGCTATGTCAAACCTAGAAGATGACTGTTGGACTCTGGTCATAGGACTGGTCTGATTCCCTCCTGCCGCCGGCACACACTCTCTCTTTCAAGTTTTGCCCTGTGAAAGAACTCTGGTTTAGTGAAGATGTAAGAACATGAGAGGTAGGTAGCCTATGAAGGCACTAACACTAACACTAGGTTTCCTAAACATGATTGAGGCCGGCCTTGAACAAGACGCCATTGATGTTGAGGATGCTGTGTCGGTGTTATGTGGGATAGAATTCTCAAGTGCTGTCTTGTGTCTGACTCGATACAAACGTAACGGCGATCGGTAGTCGCGGCATTAGCAATGTACCTGAGGTGGCTAGGAGAGGGTACACAGTGGTGCCCTGGCCCTGCAGTAACTGTACTAAAGCCTTGTTGTATTAAACTTGGGTAAAATACCGTGTGCCATGACTCGCTGCAGAAGAAGCAAGGCTTCCCGGTGGCTGGATTTGACTACTCCACCAGATCTAGGAATTTGGTCAACAGGCGTACCAGTGACTCGACACAGCAAATACTTAGACAGAGGGGAAATTTTCAGCACACCAAATGATGATTTATAGCTCGGCCTGTAGAGAAATGAGGGTTTGCTATCACTAAGAGCAGAAGCAGAAGTAAAGTCGTCAAGAGCCCATCATCCTTGGCACTAGGAGAGCGTCAACTAAATGCCAGTCAGTTTGATTACCGGGAACGCTAAGATCCACCCCCAAATCGGCTATATCTACAGATTAGTGGGCTAAGATCGGCTGCTTCTTTGGGTCCATCGCGCTCGTCTTCCTTCAGTGACAACAACCAACTAGGGTCGATGTTCTCGGAAGCGATTGTGCTTTTTGACTGTTTTGTTGCTTCTAGCATCACAAGGCCAATACTATTTTCATGAAGGCCATAGCTGCTAATGTCGTGTGGTTACGTGCGAGGTGAACTGAACTAGATCCATATTGCAACCGTGCAGGTCGAGACATTCCGCCCACAGTTGCTCTGTGCAAAAAAGCAGTAGAGTTTACTTGGCAGTACCACGAGCATTAAGCCCACAGACAGCACCACATGTGCTGGAAGAGACCTCCGACGATGAGAAGCCTGGTCAATCTGAACTATTACATGTCGGGCGTCTGGCGGCATAATATATATTTGCTAATAAGAATGTAGTTAGTTAACGTATAATCAGAGTATAGACATCCGAAGCAGACGACTTGATGAAACCAAACATGTCAATGCCCTGGAGGAAGGAGGCCCAGATATGTTTGGCGTGAAGCTTCTTCACGGAATTGAGAAGATTCAGCTCAGTTCATCTTGGTTCCGAAGTTTCCGCATCTATTGTGACCAGGGTGTGTTGAATCAATTCGGGGACTCCCATTTGTGCGGCTGCAACTCATGTTGACCGCCACAACTGGTCCGTCTGGTGTACCCCGGTCACGCCCCTCTCGCGGATTGAGATGCTGTTAAGGCAGCCAAGCCAAGACTTCTCGTACCAGGAGGCACCTAGGATGTGCCATTAGCTCAGGCAAGAGATTGTCTGGTTGCACGTACCTTGCAACTATAGCTAATAACAGCCGATGCTGACGCCGCTCCGTAGTTCAGATCGAGCCATGACAAACATGTTTCAAACGGGTTTACATCGGTTCAACGGTGGACGATGTATCATCACGGCAGATGCTGAAATTGCAGGCCGCGCTGGGAGACTGCATATGCCCATCCGCTTGACCAAAGGTTGTAGACGCAGGACTGAACTGAACGATCTAGATGCCCAGATGTCTGGACGGTGGCAGTGGGTGGCACCTGCCTTTGCGTAGCCAATATTTCCCGAGGTAATCTCCTTTTCTGAAGCCACTCTGCAAGGCGAGCGGGAAGGAGCTCGAGCTCGAGCGCAGCAGCAGCAGCTCTCCAGCTAGCAAGGCCAAAGAAAAAGGCGACAAGGCCAAAGACAAATGCATCGCATCATGGTTTAGGTCACGGCAGAACGGGCGTGCAATTTGAGCCCTGAGCACCTGCGTCTGAGAACATGCCCGTACTCCCCAGCATCCCGTCATCAATAACCGCGGCGAGATACAAGATGCAAAACACAAGAATACGTCGGTATTGCATGCACGAATCTCCGCACTGCCGATTTGATCCCTGAGATGCCCTCGATCTCCCACACGCTCGAACGCCTGTACTCGGCGATTTCAATGTTTAGCACACCAACACACCAGCACACCCATTGTGCACATGCACTCCCCCGACACGCGGACCTGCACGGAAATCTTACACACACGCATCGGTTTCTGGGTTATGGGGCTTCACGCCTTGCGTTAGATTCGATACAATCCCAGATTTCTCGTCACTCGACATCCAGTCCGGGGTTGGCACACCTGATGCTCATGCTCATGTGCCCAATCCATGGTAGACAGAACCTCGTCACACCCACGCAATTTGGACAGCAATCTGCCTCCCACCAATGGACCACGATCTGGCTTTTCAACGGACCCCACGAGTGCACGCTATGGTGGTTGTGTGGGAGGCAGCCAGCCAAATCAATTAACCATGCAGCCATCCAATGAAGCAAACACAACCAACCATTTCACCTGTCTGTGTTTAGAGTCGAAGACAGCTCGGGGGGCCTTGACTTTTTGGTGAGCCAAGCACCCTGTGTCGTCTTATTTCTCAGCCATCCGCCACCCACTTTTAGGCTCGACAATCTCGCAAACTGGCAATCTGGATGGATGATCCATTTGCCGCACCCACAGCATCAACTCTCGTCCCACTTGGACCGCCATCAGAAGCCCTCTAGAAGCACGAATCTTTAACCGTCGGCTTATCCCTTGCCCACCGAGCGAGCCACCAGTTAGTTGACCGAGTCTGCCGTCATTGTCACGGCAGGAATAAACAGCATTCTTAGTTAGCGCGGCCGCTGATCCTTACACGCGACGCTCAAAGCTCAGGCGTCCCATGCCGGCATTCCAGTTCCCCGATGGTGATTTAGAGTCAATGGGCCGCGGGGTGCGAAGCTGGCCTTGGGCGTGCCACCGGGCCACCAGCGGTCCAACGAGGGCTGGCTCGATTTTGTAGGCTGGCGTGCGTTTGAAGAGAGCCAGAAGGGCGGCTCATCGATCCTGCACGCCTCTCGAACGGCCATCGTGATCGTTGCGACTCTTGGACTCCTGGCGCTGGGTGGTTCCCCGACTCCATATTTTGACCCCCATGTCGTCAACGGATCGATTGATTCCTACACGCACGCCATCTCCGGGGCCCTGCTGGTGGCCGCACGCCCTCCCAGCCCGGGCTAGTGATGACTCTGGCGCACCTCCACCATCGCCCTCCCACGTTGTATCGCGGCCCCGGCTACCAGGCCAAACTCGCTAGCAGCGCCCCCCAAAGCGCAGAGACAAGCACAATCCAGTGCCGCGGATCTCTCTCATCTGAGGACTCCACTCGGCCCATCTCGTTATTCGACTAGGACCCAGCCAAAAGCCCAAGCCCACCCTACCCTACCGGCGTTGCGTCTTGGCCAGACCCTTGTCGGCTGGCAGTTTGTTGCTCAATGACTCTTTGGCTCCCTGGCTCTGTGGACGTGGACCTCTCCCCTATGTAATATTGTCTGTATGTATGTACTTAGATTGTACGTGTGGACGCAGTATGAAGTCTCTGGGCTCTGGATCAAGCTGAGTGAGGGCTTGCTGCTGAGTTTGGCTGGCTGGGTCGACCCTGTCTGCCCCAGTGCCATCCTGGCCAGCGCCACCACGAGGTAGTGCCCATCGCGTCAGATCTCCTTCAACCTTGCCCCAGTCTAACCCGGGCCTTGGGTGGCTTGCTGGTACTATCGGTACTTTTTATTGTTCTATTGCTATTATTCCCTTTTCTTCTTCCTCTTATCCGTCTGCCTCCTCCTACCCTCATTATTTGAGCAGCCTCATCCCCTCCCACCCTCCGAAGCAGGATAACCTCTGCGACGATTCTGGATTTGGCCGCTGTTCTCCCCGCCGGTCACCGACGTCCCTATCCCGCTCTTGCTCTTGTCCATTTTACCCGACGTCGAGACAAGTGCATTATCCTTGGCTGCAGTCCGATGTGTCTACGGCCATAAATCTTTCGAGATCCTCCTTGGTCCGTTGCCACGCGCGCTATGGAACCAGGTGACTCTGGATCCCGCCCAAGGTGCGTTTTACATACGAGACTGCCTTCGCCCCTCCCTGCAATATTAACATACTTGTCGTCTATAGTGTCCATCCAAATCCTGCCATTATCACGGAACAACACCAGCGACACCATCAGCCCTCTCCTTCCGCCCCGCCAACCTCATATCAATCTCCGCGAGAACACTTGGAAAGGCGGTATCAGGAACAACACGCCATGGCCACGGCCACAGTCCTCGCACCAAGCTCTCACTATCCTCAGTCCTCTTCATACTCCAGCTATCCACAACATCAGACCGGAACAGCGCCGCCGCCACCATCAAACTCTGGCAGCAACATGATATCGAGCGAGCATCGTCGATCTTCTGACGACAAGGAACAGCCTGGTCGACAATCTCTGCCATCTATTTCAGAGGTTATATCTGGGACTAGGCCTGGCCAGTATCCCCCTCCATCCCAGCCGAATTTGCAGCCTGGTTCTGGTCTGCCCTCACCTTTTACACCTGCTCCTCGCTCATATTCGGAACCTGAGAAGCATTCGCCTCGACAGCTGCACACATCGTCAACATATCCTCCCCGACAGGAAAACTTGCCTGCATTCACCGATTCTCCTCGACCTCCGTTTAATGGTCGACACAGCTTGCCACCCGTTTCTGACCGCAGGCAAACTCCTCCTTCAAAGCCAGACTTTCCACAACATCGCCTTGCTGAATCTCAACAACCGTCGGATGCTCATGCTTCAAATGGCGCTTATGGCCACCCACCACCGCCAACCTCGCATCCTTATCCTGCGGGGCATCTTCCCCCCGGCCAAGTCCCTCTGCCTACGTATCCAATTTCACCTAGGCATGCTGTACCGCCGCCTCCTGGCCAATATGATGCTCGTGGACAGTCTGTACGACATGAAGAAGCTGAGTATCCTAGTCGGCCGAGGTTCGAACCCACCCCGACTCGACACTTTGAGCCTTGGAACTACCAGGAAGCCCTTAGCCATGTATGTTTGAACATCACCTGTCCAGTAAAATTTGAATAGACACTAATGAGTTTGGTTTGAAAAATAGACTGGCTCTGCCTCGCGAACCCTGTTATGTTTTGCTGAAGCCTATGGACGAATTGCGCAGGAACAGCACGGTTCTCACCCACTTCCCGAGCGATTACCAACTGAGCGGGAAGTCAACGATATGCTGGGGAATATCGACATAATTAAACGGTGCTTGGAGCAAGTCAGGGATGCCGTTCAAGTATCCATCCAAAACGAGAGGGCTAGAGAAGGCACCAAAATCAAAGGAGCATTCGAGGAGCATCAAGATGTGTCGATGTACGATAACGGAATGAAGTCTCAGTATACCATGACGGAGGTCAAGAAGCGTCGCGGGGTAAGTGACCTATCTCTTCGAACAGTGGTATTTTCATGGTAAACTAATAGCATCTACAGCGGGCTGCACCTCCTGGCCGATGTCATAGCTGCAACAGGATTGATACCCCCGAGTGGAGAAGAGGGCCTGATGGTGCTAGAACCCTATGCAATGCCTGTGGTCTTCATTATGCCAAGCTCGAACGGAAACGACAGCTAGAGGCCCGATCTCTGCGGCCAAAACCCGAGGATAGAAATTAATTGGGCGGCAATTTCGTGAGGGATTATCACATTCTTTTCCCTGGGCGCATTCAATCGCCATGTTGACGGCTTCTACGACAAATGAGAAAGTGTACGGCGACGTCTTAGTTTTACATCTCATCAATGACCAACGTTTTCTTTGGGGTGGTAGGACAAGGGTTCAGGCCTGCCAGTTTGATCTCTGAGCGACAGGATACTGGCGTAGCGCTGATGCCGATGCAGCCCTGTGTCACTATTCTAGGACCGGATGGAATGTGCTTTTTCTTCCGGCCACCAATATTGCTTTTTTTTAAGTCCTTTGTTTGCCACACATTTTGTTTTGTATATAGGTTTTGAAAACCTGGGATACCTCGGGAATTTTTTTGTCGGAGGTGGATAACTGGCATTATTGGCGTTGTTATATTTGGAATATTTTGTTGCAGATTACGACTGTCTCATCGTTTTGATTTGAGCAGCGACGGGGTATGGGCTGGACTCGTTTAGACAAAGACATGTTATACTCACCTAGTAGTAATGCCTGTACAGACAGGCCGGATAGTTGAATGATGAGAGAATAGCTTCAAAAGAGTACATACGGCAAAACACGACTGCAGAGTATCGATTCACTATCTGTCTGACCGGGTCAACTGGTGTAAGACAACCGGCCAACCTCCTATTGGCAATGTGGACACGTTGGAACGTAAATCTGTCTCACAATATGTGCAACATGCCCGGGGAAGATACCCGTCAGATAATTGCCCCAGCTGGCCTAGAGGTCCATTTCTCTTCTTTCGCGTCTTTGCCAGGCCTTGGCATTTGACTGATCCATGCTCTCTGTCCATCACAAGTGTTGCAACTGGACTTTGTTTCCTTTTTCTTCCCTTTTTGGTCAGTGGCTTTGGCCAACCCTCTTGCTATTTTCTCCTTGCCTCATTGTTGTTGGGTAGATGAGATGCGACCAACTAGAGCTGTTTACTAGCAGGGATGTTGGAAGATGAGAAACATACATAAGGTGTTGTTGTTGGTCGGGCTGTCGGGGACATTCGCCACGTCCCTTGTCTCATGTACCAGTATATTACCTTGACCTCGGGAATTTTGCAAAAGGACAGCAATCAGTTAGGAGAATGATAGAGCAGAAAACAGTGCAATCACGCCAGACAAGATGAGGCGTGCCATTTCGGTTAGCCGTACTCCGTATATGAAGAGCGATATTAAACTAAAGCCCAAAGGAGGCGTAGAGAGGTCGTCTTTGTAGAACGGGGGTTTGAGCGCTGCCACTAGTAACTCTAGGTAGTGCTATAATTATACATTCACGGATGAGGAGGCGGACAATCCGTAGCGGATTTAGTATCTGTTCGAACGGTCGAGCGGGTTTCATTGCGGAGCTATTTGTTGCTTGGCACTTTCGTCTTTCTGGGGTAAGGAGAGCGAGCTACTCCGTAGATGAACGGCTTCTAGCACGGAGCCCATGCTCCTTGAGAATTGACTCAGTTTAATGGACCAGGAAGAGTCTGTGCTTTTGAAAAACGTCCGGTGAAGTAGAGATGCAAGATGTGACGAACCGGCACCTTGGAATGGAGGCTACAACGATGCCGCGAGTTTGTAGAACCTGGATCCTGTTCCCTGTAGAGAGGTCTTTTGCGCCTTACGCAGGTTTATGATATGAAAATTGATGGCTGTTAGACAGCACCAGCCATTATCGGATGCGCAACTAGACTTGGGTAAAGACAAGGGGCAAAAGAAAACCAAGTGTATTATTTATGTACAATAAATTGTGTCATTTGATTGCTCAGATGTCGTCCCTGCGGGTCGAGGAGAACGAGAGGGTGGAGGGTTTCCGGGGTGTTTACGCTCAAAGCGATTGGCTTTTTTTTTTCTAAAAAAAATTAAAGAAGGAGCGAGACGAAATAAGAAACACAAGCTAAGCTAGTATTCGCGGTAGATGTCGCATCGTCCTGGGCCAACACATTAGTGTGCGCAGTTTTCCCGCTAGCTCTTCCAGTCATTGGGACATGGCGAGCGGCAAATGGGGAGTTAAGGTCGGTAACGCGCTCGGTACTTCTGTACGAGGTTAGCTGCGTCTGCTTTGTGCTCTTGGACTACGGCGATCAAGGACCCAAAATAGTCAGACAACGGGCATCAGGACGAGGACCAATGAAGCCCTGACTATATCAAATGCCCTCCCTTTGACCGAGATGTGGCTATCCTCGAAATTCAACCCCAAGATTACTCGAGAGTGAGCCCTGGTTTGTTTGCACCCTGAACAGTGGGGGAATGAAAGATTCTAGACACGAAGCCAATGGGCGACGAGCATGTCGTGATTGATGCAACTAACAGACGTTTGCAAAGAGAGACTTGTCACATCTTACGCGACGCATGGCTGGCAGAGTCACAACAGCCCTGATGCGAGGGGCCGCAACAACATGCATTCTGGCTGCACGCCATACGAGCATAGTATAACATGTCGCACATGTTACACCTCTCATCAGCGTTTAGACTTATTCTTCATACATAGTCAAGTCCGACATGAAGGATGCCTTGCGCCGTGACTCTTGAACCATCGGCCGTACCAGACAGGCCGGCATGCCGTCAACCGATGCCTCCCTGGCCGATGGGCTGCGAGAACAGGGATCCACGATTGAGTGCATGTTGGTCGTCGAGAACATGGACTGGTAGTTGACCGAAGCTCCAAAATATCCTGTCATTTTCAGGTACCTTGTGGTGAATAGCGCACGTGGGTGTAGATCTCAATGTTGCTCGGATAAAATGGCCGTGTCATGTCGGTGAGAGATCCCGTGTTCCTTCAATAGAATGGCACGGCTTTGAGCGTCTTTGTAAGCATGTAGGCATGTGGTTATAGTCTCACAAGCCCAGCTTCATGTATGGCATGTCAAACCGCCTTGAGTTTGAAACAACTGTAGAGTTCATTCATGCTGATGTGTGTTCAAAGAGGAATGGCTATTGCAGCTTTGCCATCAAACTCAATTGCCTGAACCGTGTTGGTTTTGAACGCGTGTTAATTAGTGAATGATAATCTACGTCTTGAGAGACATCAAAAATCCGAAGCGAGCGCAGTCAAATCCTGTTTTTGAGACCTCCTCAGTGAGGTATATCAGAAACATGCATGCAAGCAGGCACATCTTGTCTAGTATCGGAGATCTCTTGCCCTGTATGAGTGTCGTACAAGGCCCCTTGAAGGACAAGATCATCATTTGTCCTCAACGATGGTGTCGGTGACACACAGCGAAACCTAAAAAGGGGTTACCCGTCTCGCGTAGCGTCGGTGTTTGGCCAGTTCATTTGGGCATGTCCATGCGCCAGATGGCTCTTTACATCTACTATATGGACATGCGGGAAACCTCGCGCGCTTGGGGTGCTTGAAAGTATATAGTTTCCATTGCTACAGGACTGTTGGTTTTGTACTGTTTCCATGCCGCGGTTTTGGTCAGTGTTATTGTCAGTTGGCCTGGGAATTACTGTCAATTTAAGAACAATAAATTCGACATTCTGGTGTAGAGATTTTATTGGTCGAAAATTGTTAACGAAAATGGCGAGTGCTGCCGCTTTTTAGTCTTGAGACACATTTGATGCGAGAAAAGGATAATTAGCCAGATCTAGGTCTGGAGCCGTGTAATTCGAGGTCTCGGACATGTTTTGGCTCGGGATTCTCACCTCTCCATCTGGTCTCGGGGTTTAGATGTTCGGCTCCGCGCAGGTGAGACGTTGAATTCGAAAATGGCCCGTTGAATCGGTAAAACGTCAAGGATGATGAATGACCTTGCTCCGCCAACCCGTCAGTTGATAGGAATGGGGTGGTCATCCCATCATGCCAAGGAAAGAATAAGAATAAATTCGCAGGCTTGTTCAAAAATTGTACTCGTAGTGTGCTAGATTGCGTAGTTCCGCAGTCCCTCCTTTCTTGTTTTGTGGCTTCTCGTGTCTCAGCCGTGACTGTGAGGAGCGGGAATTCAAACCCTCTACCTACGTAGGTAGGTAGGTAGATAACCATCAACCCTCATGAAGTCCTTTCGTCGGCGATCGAAACGGGACAACCTTCGTTGCCTTTTGAACGGCAGCGAGTAGCCGATGTCCTGCCAAGGGCTTAGACAACTGTCAGGCAGCTTACTTCTTTGCCAAATATCGGCTGGTCTTGTGATACTCATTCCAAACCATGATCGGACTCGAGCGCGTTGCAGGGAATTGAACTGAAGTAGCAAGTCCACATAACATGCAGCATCCTCGTCCATAATGCGTTGATGGCCATATGCAAACCCTGGAGTTATGACATAATTCATCGAATGGTAAGTGCAGAGCGAATGGTGCTGCTGAATCCAGGCATTGCGATTAATAGTAGGCCGATGACAAGACACATACTACTAACTACTAGTACCAGACCCTTTGACCTTTGAAGTAGCGTGGCTTCCAGAGAGTTCTGACAAGGGATCATGGGGTGTGCGTGTTTCGGCGACGGTGTGTTTGGACGGAATACGCACATGGGAAGTGAGATCGACTCAGACAATGGCTGGATGCGACGGACTTGTCTTATACCGGCAGTACGGAAGACCTCCGGAAGGACTCATGAGATTATCTAAATTCCAACGCCTCTGTGACGAAAATGCCGTGCCGCGTGCAGGAGAAGAGGGGAAGAGAGGGAGGGGTTTTGACTACCCCGGTACGTACGGAGTACCTTCCGCCTTGTTGCTTTGCTTGGACAGGATGTGTAGATGAGGGGGGGACCAGACGGTAGAGAGGGAAAGAAGGGGATGGCTGCCGCTTCCTTGTCAAGGTTCCGTGTTTCATACTCAAGAGCTGACAGGAACTCGAGCACATGGTTTTATGTGGACTGCATCAACTTCAACTTGGCCCTTGGAATTGAGGCCTTCCGTGCAAGATCGTGGACATCTACGGTTCAGACGGGAGTGACGTCGTCCACTTGGTGCTATCCCGAAACACTTCATTATTACCCACCGTTCGCTTCATAGCAAGACGATGTCGGTTGACCTACTAAAAGTTCCTCCCCAGGCCGGTAAGTAGCCGAGGACGGAGTACGGAGTATGGAGCACAGAATACCCAGCCAGCTAACAGTGAAGTGTGTTCGACTAGGTGCACATGCGTCCGGTGTGATTCGCGTTCATTATCGCTGCTGAAGCCAACATGCACAAAATACATAGCTTACTTACCAAGTACTAGCACGCACAAGGGTCCTAAGGACCGAGGTTCACTTTCCGTCCTAATGTAGTTTAGCGGCGTCTCTCTCGATCGTGGATCAGATCTCCCTCTCACATCGAACACACAGCCGAACACACAGCCACCCTGGGCCGATCCTAGTTATGGAGAAAGAACGAAACGGGGTGGAGGGGTGTGAGGGCGTGGCTGCAGAATTTTTCAGCTCGTCAGACCATTTTCGTGTGATACCTGATGGATGGATGGCTTCGTACTCTGGGCGAGGGAGTATCAGTCAAAGCGTTCGACGACTGACCGACACTCTCTGGCCCGCCTCGTACAAAAGGTGTTGCCAGATAACTATACATACGTGGTTGTATCGTGGGATGACGGGACAAATGTTTAACAAACCATGGATAAGGCCAGCCGGGCAGCATATGTATGTGTAGGTAAGCAATCTCTCAGCCGTGGACTTGGCTGAGGAGAGTACCAAGCCATTGAGTCCGTGCGGAGAGAACAAGAATCTGGCATCTTTGGTCCGTAGGCTGACTACGGAGTAGGAATTGTGGATTGGTTTTCCCCGGCTTGCATATCAACACCGAGTGGTCCGGGGGACGAGCAAAATAGCCGGATCTCAATGGCAGGGGCCGCGCAAAAGCAAAGTAGCTCTTTGTGGAGCGAAAGGGTCGGCTTTCGAGGTCCCCTCTTGCCGCTCATATGTCTTACACAACCCTTATTTTGCCTCTCAAGCGCATGTCTGCCCGAGTCACCACCCGTGGAATCAATCAACACCAAACTCAAAGCCGGGTGCGCAATGATTGGGCATCTAGGCTCAGGTCAGCCTACATGCGCCATGGGGCGAACTACATACATACATGTGTCTTCTGTCTGTCCTACACACCCAAACACCCCAGCCAACATGAACGGTTGTAGAGAGACAGAGAGAAGCACAGCCCACATGTCCACCTAGGCAGGGGCATCTCAGACGGCAAGTACTAGTAAGTGGACTACCCATTTTGGCAATTGCAAGCGATACTAAGATATGTACGGAGTAAATAATAGTCGAAAAGGGCCCGTTCCGTGAGGAGAGCTCATGTGGCGTTGAATTGCTCCCTGAATAAGAGGGCTGTTCTAAAGGCCATGAGCGGCTTGCAGATCTAGTCAATATTGGACAGACCGTCGCAATGCAGCTCTCCATTCCGCTTTGTAGAGCATAATTGAACTCGAGGCAGCGCTTTATGAGCCGGGCAAATTACCCCGTTAATAAGCGGTTCCGTCGCCGTCGGTGTCAATTTATGCCGGTCTTCAAAAATACACTGCATACTCCGTACTTGCTGCCTCATAGACTACGCCAAGCCTTGAGTCCTCCAACGCGAATATAACCAAAGATACGATCCCTCGACTTTGCCGGCAGTGTTGGCAAGCCTTTCCCCTATGAAAAACACCACAGTACCATGTGATTCCATAATCGACATCTGCACGCCTAGATATGTACCAGGCATCAGTAACCCTTGTCGAGATGATCCCTTTCGTCCACTACGTTTGGTGGCTTCGATGGGCAACTCGGTCAAGATTTGGATAATTTTGAAAGATGTCGTTCAATATTAATGACGTGGTTCTGGCAAATAGCTGGCGCACCCGAACCTGATCCGTCTACAGATATACCGGTAGCACATACCCAGCCAGGTATGGGAAAAGCTGCGTCCTGCAGAGAGTCGTAAATTTGAACTTGGTAGCACTAGGGGCTATTTCCCTGGCTCTTTATAGAGATCGAAATCGACCATGTCTAGCACATGTTATAACCGGCATGGTCTCCTCGTGACGACCCTCGGGGAGGACAGTTTCCCCCCGAAGCTGTCCAAACAACTACCCTGTCATTGTGCTCTTGAGCTGGCGTATTGCCAGTTGGTAGGGCAAGTTGCTACAGGGCCAGAGGTATACAATGCACCGCTTGAGCATCTTGCTTTGGCTCCGCGGTCCGTAACACCTGCTGCAATCAACGACTGCGATGAACATGCGGGTTTCCTACGGCCCCGACTACCAGCCATTGGGGGCATGCCACATAATGAAATTGTATTCATCGAGACTGGAAGCCAACTGCCACCGACTTCTCGGGGAGAATGTCATTCTTCGGGTTGAAGCTTCTTGTTGACGTCCCTTTGGATCAGACGCTATCAAAGAAGTCGAATTCGCTAAAGCACGGTAATTGTAGGAGCTCTAGTGTAGATGCCACAGTGCTTCTAAGATGCAGTCACTACAATGCGGGCACTGGGATCGCGGTGGCCTTGGTTCGATGCGCTCTGCGTCATCCATGACAGCCCAAGAGATTGGGAAAGAGTAGTTGCTCTCATGCTAGGCAAATACACAGGCTTGTTTCTTGTAGTGCCTGCTGCGAGTACCGCTTCGTATCGGTGCAGTTTTCCCACGTCTCATCTCTTTGCAGTCTGTTGATGTCGACTTCCAAACTGGCAAATCGGAAAACCCTTGGTTCACAAGGCGTAGTAGGTGCCGTCTTGTGAACGCTTGAGGCTAATCTTGGAAGGGCAGATCTGTATCACTTGGCATGGGGAAAGCTTTCCCCATCACCACAGACTTGGGAGAGGATGCCGATAGGTATTGCTGGAGAAAAGTAGTATAATGGCACGACTTCAAGCAGATATCAGCATTACTACTATCGATTGTCATTAGAAATCACTGGTCATGTTTATGTTTGGTGGAATATCATCTTAGTCTGTGACTGGGCAGGTCAACTGCTGGACATCTGTGCAATATATATACGGTGCATTAAATCAGTTATATAAAGCTAAATATATCAGGTCACCGCCAATCATGTCCCATTATCATCCTACTACGTGGAAAGAGAGGGGGCAAAGAGGGGGTTTAGCGCGCTATTCTCTCCCAGGGGCTTCATTCTCTCCATCTATCCACTCGCTTTTCCTCTTCCGCGACCCGTTCCCAAGTTCATTCTCTTTCACGGCAGCCCATTGAGCAACCAAGTCACCATTACCATCCTCTCCATTCGTCATAGGGTCCTGGCCGCAGCCGCCTCTGAAACGACCTAAAAGCCTCGGGAGGCCGTGAATCCCAAGACCCGCAAAGTTCTTGCCGGCGCTCTCACGCTCGCCTATGGCGATGACGGCGCCGATGAGATCGTGGGTAATGGCATCGTCAATGACACTGTCGTGCTTGTAGCGCGGGTGGGCGGCGACAAAGTTCCGTATCCAGCGGGCTGTAGTGTCGAGTTCGCCGCTGGCTCGTTTGCTAATGAGCGACAGGTAAGTTGCCAGCTGGCAACGGGTTTCGACGTCGACGTTGACGCTGTCAAGGTAGCTTTCGACGATAGGGATCAGGCCCGGAAAGCCACCGTCAGCAGAGCCATTAATGATTTCATCAATGGACATTTCCGCGTATTCATCGTCAACGGGCAGGCCTGGCGAGCCGCTGCGGCTGGGCATGGCGGACCCGGGCCGGCTTTCCTCGCCAAAGGCCGTGTTGGCGCGGGACGGACGCAGGGGAAAGAGGTTTCTGCGGAAGTAGAACCTCTCTTTTAGGACGGCGTCGACGCCGTGGGCGCGCTCCATGTTCTCATCCACTTTCTTGATGGGAATGTAGAAGTTCAGGTCGAAGGAGAGCATGGCGCGCGTGACGAGCACCATGAAGACGGAGAAGGCAGCGTTTTCGAAATCAGTGACTTGGATCTCCATGGGGCGGAACTCGACGCGCCAGCCAATGTTGTTTTCGGCTGGCGGTGGCTTGAATCGCATATGTTGCCAGTTGGTGGACTGGATGTTCTCAAAGTGGTCCGTCTTGTTGAGATCGAGCTCCTGCAAGTCCTCCTCGAAGACGACGATTGGATCTCGAATGAACAGGTGCGCAAAGTGGGTGGCGAGGAGGTCATCCATTCCTCCTTCCATGAGCTTGGCCTTGATCTTAGGGTCAATTACCAGGTCCGGGTCCATGTATTCTGGACGGAGCCTGGGGTCTGTAGAGATGTAAGTCGAATTGGATGCATAGCGCGATTTGGGTATTCTCCACCGGTCATTCTGGAGTGGCTGCATGCAAAATGTTAGCCCGATTGATTATTATACTGGAAATATCGGTCGCCATCTGTACGTGAGCGGCCGGTGCTGTATTGCATACCTTTTCTCCTAATTCCTCGGGTGTTCTACAGTCAACTGCGCGGCTGATTTGGTTCCACCGGACATCTGTATTGGCCAAAAACCCCTTGTATATTGGTGTAGCAGCAGTCAAAGCCAGCATGATTGGTCCCAGTGGACTGAGCTGGTCGTACATTTGTCTGCCTTCGGTGATGTTCTTTGCTTGGAAAGTGATCTGGAGACAACAACTACCCATACCAAATGCCATGGCGTCCATGTGGATGAAGTCATCGGGAGCGGCACCATTTCGCACATCGTCATCCTCAGGCCAGTTGTGAAGATCGTAGTTGGCAGTCGGGTCCTTCCAAGGCGTCGGGGTGTTCTTGTCGTGGAATACGGGTACATTCACCTGCACCTTGCGACCACGACGCCATCTGATATTGGCAGCCAGGGTAGGGAATCGAATATGAGGATTAGCAATTTCGTCGGGAACAAACTGGGACCGAAGTTTTGATCCAGACGGCGGATAATAGGGGTCCGTGAATTGTCCGGGAACACCTATTTGCGGGAAAGTCGTCAAAGTAATGGGGTGCTCCTTGGACAACATGTGCTCTTTGGCGATCTTGCGACGGAGCTTCATATCAGGCTCGACATCAAGCAGTTCCTTAAAGCCAATACCCCATGGTTTTCCCGGCGTGGCTTCAAGCATGAACCGACCAAACTCCGGGTGGAAGACGGGGAGTGGATGGGATCTGTACGAAAAAAAAAACAATCAAGTGTCAACTACGATATCGCGACACATGCCAAGTGCGGTGTATACTCACTTGGGCTTTTCCACGGGACCATCCAGCAAAGCCGGGACGCAGCCTTCCTTGGCAAGTTCCTTATCGGCAGCCAGTGCCTCCAGAATCTGGGCCTGTCTGAGAGATAGAAGCACCTTTTCTTCCTCCTTGCTGTACGTGACGACCAGATACTCGACCTTGAAGAGGGTTAGCTTTGGGAAGCGAAAGGGTGGTGTGGCGTGCTATTTGGACAATCTCACCTCATCCCCCCATAGCATGGCATCTCTCTCCTTTCCTTTGGCCTTGTTCCATATCTCGAGAAGTTGCTGGCCGAAAATGTCAGCGCAAAGGGCGACGCTATACGGGAGGATACGACCAGGACGGCAACAAACCTTGATCCCCCATTCTCTAACCTGGTCGGCTCGCTTCTTTGCCTCGGGCCATTCCAGCGCAGTCCCAAGGGCTCTGTTATTCCCGTGTTAGTGCGGCCAATGCTGCAATGCCACCTTGCCGAGTTTCCGATTGGAGACTTACAGAAGACCCATGCTGTATGTTCAGATGAGATGGCGAGGGCCTTTGCGCCGATGTTGAAGAAAGATGCGGGTGATGGTGGGGTGACGTTGATCTGAGCGCGATGTGTGCTCCGGAATACGTCGCCTCGTGATATGCATGGGCTCCTTGGCTGTGACAATGCGATATGGTCGAAAGGACGGCTCTCCGAGAGTCTCTAGTTATGTCTGCGCAATGAGGCCCTGACGATTCCCAGGGCTTGAAAAGAGGAAGCGCTAGAATGAGATTCTCACTTTGTCCCCGCAAAATTGAGTGTCCCACCCCAAATCACCTCGGCCCTTGTATCATGGGAACGAACTCTGATCTCGTCCGCCGGTCTCGACGATCTCACTCCAGCAAGGGCCGCGCCGTTGAGATTCAATTGCGATGGTCAACGTCTGAAGCCCTGAGCGACGAGCCGGGACGGATAGAAAAAAAAAACTCTAATAATGTCTCTCGAGGCACCACCCGGCTTCGCACAGAACTTGGACATCGAAGTGGAGCTCCGTACGTACGTAGTCTGCAATCCACCGTCGCAATGGAAGAATTGGCAGATGCTTAGAAATCCAAATGGCAAAGAGTGGTTTGCCCAAACCAGGCCACCGTAACTGGCTATTTATGTAGTAAAAAATATTGGAATCGCTTATGGGCACAGGGTCACAGGGATAGCCTGAGAGGACGAGAGGGGAATAGTTTTAATAAGTCAGGCACGCGAGACTGGGGGTTGCGATTTTCGCAAATGCCAAAATGACGGTGCAAGACGTTCAAGGTTTCCTGCATCAACGTCATGCCAACAACAATCGGCAGCAAACAAATAGCTGCAGACTGGAGCAGGCAGGCAAAAGCACAAAAAAGCACGTCATGTACGACGGGCTTTCATCTTTTATGACCGGCCTGGTCAACTTGCCACGGCCCGTTGCATCGTGCGAGTTGCTTTTCATTCGAATTTGATGAAAAGGCCATGACTAACATTTATTATTGTGGCCTCGATTCTGTCATGAGCCGTGGTAACTATTGACTTTGACTGCGCATCCATCATCCTTGGCCGACCACCCGACAGACCGATGTCGCAATTGCATGCACTTCGTGGTGTCGCGTGCTGCCATGTCGTGATTGACGGCCAGACATTAGTGTGCCGGAGTCCAGTGAACCATGCAACGCCACATTGCGCGAGGACCTTTTCTTACCTGTTTCTATGCAGCACAAATGATAGCCTCTTCTTGTGCTTCTGCATAAGTCCCTGGCGTGCTCAGAATGCCGTCGACACACTGGTTCGGCTGGTGGCCTTGACAGAACCACCGAAGGGCGCCGATAGTTGATAGTTGATGTCGACAGCCAGAACCCCGTAAACACTAGGTCCTCCTCGTCCTTGAGCGATTGCACTAGTACTAGTTCATTGATAGGATAGAGATCGGAGCTGGACACCAGAATCCACCAGATCTTTACAGTAGCAAAGCCTCGAGCCTTTTGTTTGGGCGCCGCCTGCTTTGCTGGATCACACACATCCCGTAAATTCGTGGGGAAGTGTCAAGCTGATCGACGGATGGCGAACCGGCAAATGAAGCTGTTCCATTATTGGTATGAACCCTGTCCGACCATAAGCAGCTGGGCTGACTGTAGCGCAACTCGTCACTGTACGCCATACAATGCGTACGGAGTACTTCCGAAGCCATGTTGCAATCCATCCAATACGGAGTTGTATACTCCGTAAACGGAATGAAAACCGGTTGGCATAGTTGGCTATGGCGAAGTACAACGCACCGCACAACACCAATTCTCGGACACTGCAAGATATTAGCTTGTGCGTCAATTATCTAGCATGTACCAAGGTGAATATTTCCCGCTGCCTAGGCTCGAATGCCGGTTGATACATTGAAACGCTTCCCTCGGGTACTCATCCACGTCACTGGATGGTGGGACTGATTCTTACTTAGATCCCATGTGCCTACCCCACATGCGAAATTGAGCAGATACAGAGATAAGAATGATGAATGTATGGATCGATGATAGTGGTGGACAGGTGACAGGTGGAAGAGAAGCTTGAAGGAGGTGGTATAAGCTGGCGGTGGTGACTTTCGCTAACAGGGAGCCTCGCATTTTGCATTGCGTTGTTTTGACTGCGTGACATTCTCATGCCGGCTTGTGGTGAAGAACTGGTACGAGAGCGAATGCTAGTATGTAGCATCACTTACGTATGCGTTGCATGATTGCCCGCCCATTAGGCTGCCCAGTACTGTGTCCATGGCATAAGCATTGATTGTCTCGTATTAGCGTCTCGTACCTGGACAGTTTCCTGCCCGCTGTCAAGTCCCCGTCATGCAATATGATCAAGGTACGAACGAAATATTGGAGACAGTATTTGTACATACCCCGATGCAGACTGCGGCCATGCTTCGAGTGTTGCAAATGAAGCAGCTTACCGGCCCAAGGCCCTCAAGATTCGGTCAAGAACATGACTCCATGTGCACCTCCTTCCTGACGGCTAAAAGCATCGTAGTGTCTGCAAGTGCGCGATGGCGTGGTCGCCTGAGAGTGGGAGGGCCAAACCTTGGTGATTTGGAACGGGAGTATCTGAGGTTCAATGTTTGGCTTGGGTGGCTTGATGTGTGCAGTTGCTCTGATGCTATGCTGCTCTGTGTTCAAGTTGCCTGGCTCGATGTGAGGTGGGGACCTCCATGTCCAATGCTCTTTCCTCTGTGTACTCCGTAGTGGTGCGGTCCTTGCTCCGGAGCGGATACTAGGGTACCTAGATGTATGTATGGACTTTAGGCACCAGAAGTAGTCTGGTCTGGTGCCATGACGGCATAGCCTGCTGCCCGTCCCCTAAACTCTACTGAGTGACTGATGCAATGGAGCTGCTGACCACCCCGCTGCCACTGTCACTCTGCCTGCTACACCCACTAGTCGACTCCAGTCGTGCCTTCCCTTCCCTGGCCAAGGTGAGAGTTGAGTGCTCCATGCCAACCAAGTTCTGCCCAACCACACATCCGCTTGACCATGTTGTACGTCTCGCCGGCGAATCATGTTCGACTAGACCACTAGGTAGACTAACAGACCACCAAACCGTCTCCTCTCTCGGCACATCACCGACCCTCCATCCCGAGAAATTCTTTTGAAAAGAACACCTTAAATCAAGCACTTCCAGTTGAACTTTTCGATACTCTATCCTGGTATCTCTTCGAGCTCCTGCGACTGCTGTTTCTGCGGCTCGGTAGCATTCAAAAAGCGTTGCCTGCTGCCACAACACACTTGACTCGACAACAATCTTGACGGACACGGCTGGCCGCACGGTTTCGTCGCACCTACAATACGAGCTCGAGAAGAATATTCTACGAGATAAACACCATTTATCACCATGAACCCTCATCAGAAGAACAAAGTCGACGTCAAGGTAAGCATCAGTCGAGCCATCCCACAATTGTCATGCCACTCTTGACCGACGCTGCCATGTTTCATCGTCACCCCGCTCTCCTGCGCAACGGGATGCTTTTCCCAAGTCACACAGGACGTCATGGCTTGCAGAAGGCCTTGGGCCTGCCCTGCGAGCCCCTCTGTATACTTGGAGTCAACTGCTAACGGATAATTTAACTCAAGTCGCTCTCTCCTGAGGAACAGCGCCTCTTCCGGCTCTACGGCAAACTCCCCTCCCGATCTGACCACTTCGCGAAGCACCTCAAGGACCGCAAATACTTCGACTCTGGCGACTACGCCATGTCCAAGGCTGGCAAAGGCGATGGCGTTGATGCCGGTGCGGTTGGCTCTCAACACCCCGTCCCCGAAAACATCCCCCACCTTTCGTCACCCATCAACAATGGAGCGAGCATTCCAAAGCACGGTCACCATGGTTCCATCGCCGGCATCCAAGCGGGCAGCCCAGTCAAGGAGAGCAGCTTCCTGCATCGTGAGACCAGTGCAGAAGACGCCTCCACAGGGGATGATTCAATCCCTTCCAACAATAAAGAGAACGTATCCCTTACCTCTGCGCCGCTGCAGTCCAACGAGGGTATTCCGATTCGCCGATAGCTCATGAATGAGAGATAGTTATACCACTTACGAAAATAGCATGAGGGGGAGGTGTACGTAACATGAAGCTGTTATACTTTTACGCAGTGCTACGTCCGAGACGACACGACTAGCCTTTGCTTTTTTTTTTTTTTTCCTTTTCTTTCCATTTTGTCCATTACTAGCTATCTTACTGTTGTTGCGCACACAGGTTTGGCAAAGTTGGCGTTGGGTTATGGCACTGGTGCTAACCGCCGGATTTCGCTTCTATTCATGAGGATATCAAGAGAGAGAAAAGTTGAAAACCCCGACCACTGAATTGCTCCGTTTTGCCTGCCTTGACTATATGGAAGTGTTCGAATATCTGCCAAACCGTTTCATGTGTATGCTGTCTGTTGTTGCGTTGCAAGGGCTATACTTTGTTTGTCACAGAGGAAACTTCAATGGGCTGGGATAAAATTGCTTGGATGTACGCCGGGGCGGGTGCTCGAACTCCGGTATCAGGCATGACCTGTATTTCTCGGTCTGGGCGGATGTCGAGATTAAGGTTATCGGCACACAGCGCAGTCATTCACTTTTGCACTTGGGCTCTATCTGGTCGCAAGTATGTATGTGTTATTACGAGTTTATGAACCAGATGTCGGTCGAATTACGAATGCTGCATGTGCATGTATGATGATCGAGGATGCGTGTTTTTTTTTCGAGGCGAAATTCTACGCCAGAGCCTTGACAGCCATCTTCTTGACACCCTCAAATGTCTTGTTGCCGCCAATGAAGCCGGCCGCGTGGACAAATACACAACCCTCAATACCTGAAATACCGTCCAGCTCCTGGTCGCGGAAGCCTCTCCACGCCTCGGGCAGGGGCTTACGGCTCACAAAACTATCCTTTGACTCGGGCACACACTGGATCCTCCACTTGGCGCCCGGCGCAGTCGACTCCGGGTACAAGACGTACAGAACCGTGGGCTTGCCATCCTCCAAGGTGTACAGGTGGTCCTTCCACGGCACGCTCTGCCCCTCGAAGACGAGCACTCTCCCCTCGGGATCGAACTCGGACCTCTTGTCGAAGGCTTTCTGGACGACGGAGCGAGCCGGCAGCCAGGCCGTGGCGTAGTAGTCCAGGTCGCGCTCAAACTCCTCCCCGATGCGCAGGCTCGCCTTGTAGAACCTGGCGTCCTCGGCCTCCTGCGCCTCGTCGGGGTCGCTGGGCCTCTCGTCGTTCCAGTTGGGGTTCAGGCGGCCGACGACGGCGCCCAGGGTGAAGCCGCCCTCGCTGTAGCGCTTCTCGAGCCCCGCGGCGGAGATGCCGGCCGGGTCGTAGACGCTGATGCCGTTGTCGTGGGCGTCGAGGGCCTCGACGAAGCTCTCGTACAGCTTGTCGTGCAGCAGGTCGACCTCGGGGGCGTCCTGGGGCACGCCGGCGCCGAGCTTCTGGGCGATGATGGCCTTGCCGAAGTGCTTGAAGACGAGGCCCGCGCTGGAGAGCTTGGTGCGGCGGCCGGGGAAGGTGGTGGTGAAGCCGCGCTGGTGGTGGTCGTAGCGGTTGCGCTGGGCGTCGTACTCGCCGCCGACGTCGACGACGGTGTGGCAGGCTGCGAGGAGGTCTGGGTCGCGCGTGCGGATGAGCGGCGAGTCGTGGTAGGTTGGGAGCATGCGCAGCATGTGCACTGCCAGCGCTTCGTCGGCGTGGAAGTGTCCGTTGTGGGTGCCGATCTTGGGGCCGGTCTTGAGGCGTTTGGGGGCGGACTCGGTCATGGTTGTGACGAGGCGACGGAACATAAACTTGTCGTTGGTGATCTTTTGGTTTTTTTCTTTCTTTTTTTCCTCCTCTTCTGGCCTGTTTGGGGAGGCAGGCAGGGCGTTGGCTGTTGGGGAAAGTCGCGAGATTGAGAATGGATGGAGTTTTGATGGTGGGATAAGCTTGGGGTGGGTCGGAGCTTAGCTGCGGGGCCAATCAGAGGTTGGGAATTGGAAGGCAATGATTGTGAGCTGTTGAGGTGAAGGTTTGGTGTTTGGGCATTTGGGGTTGGTCCAGTTACAGTCTGGCAGATATTTGCCCGCTCAGATATACCGACACTAGTAACATGCTGGAGTATTCTCGTATGGAGCGTGATAGCCAGGTACCTTCTCTGGTTAAATACTTTTTACCTCCTATTGTCGTCTTGAGTTGATGTATTTGAGAGCGTATTACTCCTTTCTGCGTCATTTTTTTTTATTTACTTTTTTTTGCGCATCATATTTCCACATAGAGTTGCAGCCCTTGATTCATTTACAACGGCCTGGTTCAGCACCCTTGATATTCTCTTCCACCCTGCGCCATCTCGTCATCCAATCTATTTTCACTTCGCATCCTTTCGCCCAATACCACTCATATCCATGTCCTCGCCCTTCGTTGCCGGCCCTCTCAATCCTGACTCGGCACCCTTGTCGGTTCCAACATGCGCCTCTGTCCGACCAGCACCAACGTTGACATTCCTCGCATCCGCAGACTGCCAGTCTGAAGCGGTGGGCGGCTGATCGGGAAGAGGGAGGTTGGCTTGCACCTCGGCAATCTTGTCGGCCTTGGATTGGGGCATTTTGAATTCTTATTTTTGTGTTGATGATGGGTTTTTGTCTAGACAAGCTTGCATCAGTGTGGTGTTGTGTGTGCTGAGTCTCCCGGCCACTTACATGGTACTTTCCAAATGATGCTCTTTGGACAGGTGATTATGGGATCAGAATTGGTGTTTACTCGTTTAGCGAATTCTTGTTTATATATAACGTATATGTGGAGTAGGTTATTACGAGATATGACGGAATGTTTTTTGCTCTTTCTTTTTTCGCTGTTTATTACATGGCAACTGTGACGTTTCCATCATGGCCTACAGTTTGCCCCCGCTGACGTCAATGACATCTGGTTGTCTGGTAACTCCAGAGAATTGCAGCGGGTGCTTCCCCAGTGGCCGGAGGAGAGCTCCGGTAGGCCCACTGCTTTGTTGCGGGTGGGAGTGTATCGAGATGATAGCTTGGTAGTGGAGGTACGTAGTTTTTTTTTTTTCGAGTTGGAAAGAATCCAAAGCTGGTAAACATGTACATTCTGAGGTAGGTAGTTCTGTCCCTAGAGGGTAAGTAACGGGAGTCTAAATTCTGCTACGTATTTTTGTAAAGACACACTAATAAGTTATGATGCTGAAAGTGCATATTGTTCCCAATAAAAGCTATCTTGGTAGAACTCATATCGTGAATCTGCCACTATAGCCTAGGTGTGAGGAGATATCACTGCTGAGTCTAGAAATATTTACGGGAAGCCTGGAGTTTGGATGTACAACGAAGGGTTCTAATTGGATATGTCAACTTATCAGAGATGCGGAAACTCCTGTGAGACTCTCCCGCTGGCTTACTCATGCGGGAAGTCGCTGCCGTGAACCCATGGTGGTTGTGAGAAGGTTTGAGCCTTGGTCAGGAGAACTGGCCAGAGAGTACGCTCGTTTCGCAAATTGATACCGATTACCCACATTTGGAGCTTTTGAGTGGCGAGTCGTGGAGTAGTTTTAAACAAACTCATTATTGGCGTTTCAGTTCTCATCCCTCTGAATGTGCGCAGGTCCAATTGATGTATTCAACCCACTTCTTTCATGATACTTAAAGATACTTTATTATTAAGTATAATAAACTAGTATATTTTTATATACTTATGTATCTTTAAAATTTAAGTTACTTATTATTGGCTAGAACCCTGGCCCGTTACAAAAATTGGACCTGCGCACATTCCGAGGGATACTGTCACTTTAGCATACTACCCAAATGAAAGAAGCCAACTCGAATATTCGACTACTCCACTAGCAAAACTTGATGAGAGAAACCCATATGTCTGGGTTTCATATTGATTCACTTCGCCACTTTTGTCAAACCCAAATCCATAAGTGACTCTAGAATGGGAGCCCTTTCTCTCTGGGGAAGAAACACTGCAGAAGAATAGAAAATGAAAAATGAAAAAAAAACCACCTAAAGTCCTAACCAGATATCGCAAAAGTCCATCTGCGGAATGAAAAAACGATGGCAGTGGCCTTGTCAAGCAGATTTGACCAAGACATGCGCTCGCTCCAGAACCACCACCTCATCTTCTCCACGAGATTTGGCATGCTTCAATAGGGCGCCAAAAAAAGTACCTACAATCACGTTGCCTGCATCTCCATCACCTTGAACCTCGACAGCCTCTGCTGGGATATCAGGAGACACGATTTGCCCACGGCCAATCATTTGACATTTGTAAAGGTCCTTTGATTGACGCATGGCCAGCCGAAATTCTATTGCTTTTTCGCAGACGTCGCGGATTTGATTACGAAGCTGTTCCAGCTGCTCCTGGCTGCAATTGTGATGAAGAAGGGGCTTGAGCGTGAACATCAAAAGGTCGGAAGCTTGGCAATCACTAAGAGACGAGCATTGAACAAGCTGAGCACATTTCATCGTTGACAGTCGCCAATTTGTGAGTTGCTCATCTGGAACTTGAACCCTGTTAGTATCGAGTTCTAGGTAGCGTTTAAGACAACTCACCTCCTCGTTGGACTAGAAACTTTTCCATTTCTCGCGAGTAGGACTCCAGAGCATCGCATGTGTTGTTTCCACCACCTCCTAGGTTCATTACCTGACCAAATCCAAACAAGTTTCTATTCAGTATGTGATAATGAATGTAAGAGTATAGTTTTGCACGGAGAATGTGTCTGCGATTGTTGAGCGGGGACCTCTGCCATCGATGATGGAAGTTCTTAACACTCGGGTTCAACCCAGGCGTACAGGGGAAAAAATTGACTTGCCAGTTTATTAGCCGGCTATGTGCAATGGCCAGGAGTTTCTGGCGTATTCCACGGAACATCTGGACGATTTCTTCATCACTTCTCACGTCGTCTTCCGAGTTTTGGAGAATCACATTGCGAAGCTTCAGTTCCTTTGCCTTGAGCTTTTTTATTTGCGTTTTCGCCTCTTCCAGATTCTCGGTCATGCTGTTAAGCTTTGCGGTTTTTTTTCGGATTTTGTCCTCGGCGATTTTAAGCTGGCCCTTGAGCTGTTCTACTTCCTCCCATTCGATGCTGTTCTTGGCTTCTTCAACGATAGAATGGATCTGTTTATTCAAATCAGCCGCTGTAATGATTGAAGCAGGCCAGTCTTGCGCAATTACCTGAGAGCCGGATCCCGCTATCGGCGGATCAGATGGTGAGATTTCTAAAGTGGGCTGGGGACTGAGCATGTCAAGTACATGACTAAAACCTGTCTTGATAACGTTGTCTAGCTCGCAAAGCTTTTGGAGAACTTGGATTTCGCTGTTGGGCTCAGGTAACATGTTATGGGTGGCCATATTTCCATAACTTCTCTGCTCGTCCTCAGCTATTACTGAGGAACTTTCAGTGAAATCCATATTTGGAAAGGCGAGAGATAGCTGATGGTCTAGTATTCGATGGCGTAAATAAGGGGGAGATGCTCGAGAGTCTTCACAAATGAGGAGTTGTTTTGGATAAGAAATTTTCTTGAAATGGCCTGGTTTACTGTTTAGGATCACTGTTTGTAGTCGTTTCAAGATGAAATGAAAGTGAGCGTAGTATGAGAACCAGGTCACGCCTTCCAATAGTCCAAACCATCTGGCTGTCAACTGTCAACTGTGAGTGTTGCCAACATTGAACCAGTTCTATTTTTTTTTCTTTCGAAAGAAACATCTAGATGCCAACATCTCGACTTCCTGACCTTCTCTCCAGGTTAAGGATATTGCACTTCCTACACTCAAGCTAGCTACACAGACTCCTTGTCCGGCAACAATACACGGCTACCTGCCGTAAAGATCTCTGTTCAAAATGGCACGAACAAAGCGAAAGGCGTCTTCCATATCAGACGAATCTACAGATGAAATGCTCATTATAGCTTTGGACTTTGGAACTACCTATTCCGGTGTGGCTTATTGCTTTGCAAATAAGCGCGACCCCAAGCCTGCGGCAATCTTGGACTGGCCAGGTATTGGGGCTAATGTTGATTCTCTTATATGTCTTAAGTTACAATTACTAACATATATACCAAAGGTACCCGAGGCATGTCAGTTCCGAAAATCCCTACTCTAATAAGCTACGATGAAGCGAAGCTCAGTGACTTCAAATGGGGGGCTTCAGTTGAGGATCCATCTACCGCAATAGTTGGCATTAAACTTCTCCTTGACCCATCTCAAAAGCGTCCGGCATATCTATCCCCAGAGAATGTGCAGAAAGACCTAAGTTCATTGCCCAAAACTGCGGTGGAAGTTGCGGCGGATTTTATTGGTAAAGTCTACCAACATGCTCTAGCGGAGATTTCGAAGAAAGTGCCTCGGGGATACATGGAGCTCTGCTCCAAAGAGTTCGTACTGACAGGTAAGACGAACCAATCTTGTCCAAGAGAGATTAATGTTTGACCCCGGAATTTTAGTGCCAGCTGTGTGGTCTGACGCAGCCAAACATGCAACCATGCAAGTAAGTCTCAACATGCGAATGCGCCGTGCTAGTGCTATAATTGAATCTTTGTAGGCTGCTCAAACCTCCGGAATTCATCCTGTTACGCTTGTCAAGGAGCCTGAAGCGGCGGCTTTATATACGGCTCAATCACTTGACTTTGCTCTTCAAAACGGCGATGCTTTTGTCGTTTGCGATGCCGGTGGCGGGACCGTCGATTTGATCTCGTACGAGGTAGAGGCCGTATATCCGTGCTTAGAAGTCAAAGAACTGGTCCCAGGAACAGGTGAGGCGTGCAGTCTCCTATGATAATAAGCATCACTAATGAAAGCATCAATTGATAGGTGGAATGAGCGGATCGATAGGCCTGAACCAGAGATTTGTAGCAGCCGTTCAGGCTCTCGTAGGACAAGAACAGTGGCAGACTTTGCAAGGAACCACAGGTTGGGCAAGTGCACAGCGACAATTCGACAAGGAGATCAAAAAAGCGTTTCGTGGGAGTGCAGACGAGGAATTTCTAGTCCCGTTTCCACTATCTCGCCTCCGGGATGATCCCACGAGAGGTTTGGTGTCGAGCACCTGGAGAATGACGGGGTAAGTGAGAGCAAGGCCCAGACTCCAGACTATCATCCGGGTATGCTAACTCTCAACCCTCCAGAAAGGATGTACAACTCATATTTGAACCCTTGATCCAAGACATTATCAATCTCATCGCAGAGCAGGTCACCCAAGGCGTAATCAAGCGAAACGGAAAAGATGTTACCGTGAGAAGAACCCGTGCTGCTTATTAACTGAAACGATCCGCTAATGTTGAATAGGGAATAATGTTGGTGGGGGGTTTTGGAGGAAGTTTGTATCTGAGAGACAGAGTTGAAGCCCATTTCCCAACCATCTAAGTCCTCCAGCCAGAGGACGCATGGGCTGCCATTGTGAAGTAAGTGCTACGCTGAGTGAAAGTGCGGAAACCAAATAACCAATGCCGTATCACAGAGGTGCTGTGCTCTCTAAACTTCCCGGCCAGGCTCGAGTGACGAGTACCTCAGCAACCAAACACTACGGGACACGGGGGCGATATCCTTACAATGCACTCAAAGACGCGGGACAATTGACGTTGATCCGTAGAGATGGATCAATTGGGGTGAAGAAGGCGAGTACTTGATCATTGCACTGGTTGCCTTTAGGATCCGATCTAATTCTCTAATTGAAGATGACATGGTTTATTGAAAAAGGAGACGATATTCAGCGCGACCAAAAAATCAAGTTTCCCTTTCACAGAACTGTAGAAAAGGGATATAAAAAATCAGATCTTATTCACCGTAGTACCCTTTACGAATGTCAAGACAGGTAGGCTTTCAACCCATTTAACGGTATTATTGCCGCTTACAAATGAATACAGTTCGGCCCCGGTCTACCCATCCGCGGCGAGAAGTATGCAGGTGAATTGCTCAGTGCGATCTGACCTTACCAGTTTACCCAGATCTCACCTGATCAGAAAGAAAGGTTTGCTACAAGTACTTTGTTTTTTTTTAACTAAACGTTGACTGACGTATTTCTTTAAGACCCGCATGGAGTGACTTAGTACGTCTGACGACCAAACCCCGTGTATTACCAAATACCACGATATTATTTTAACATCTTTATTTATAGCTACGAAGTCAACTACGATCTTGTAGTCTCTCTCGAGTCTGCGATTATGACATTTTCTCTAGAAGTTAATGGTAAAACCATGGGATCTGTCAACGTCGACTACAAATAAACCCCCAAGCATTTTAAAATTGTTCCTATTCCCCGAGTTTCTAACCGCACTCTATTAAAATGAGATGTCACAACAAGTATACAGACAGAATGTTGTTGTTGCTGTTTTTTTGAGAATTGACCGCGGATGTTTTCTCTTACTACAGAGCCCGATCGGAGGCTAAAATATGCGTTGAGGAGGTACAGACATCGTGGTTCTACATTTGAGATGCAGGTTTCGTTTTGACGTTTGATAGATCGTAAAGGCAGGTAGACTGGCCCAATGGATACGAGTTGCACCAAGTGTTTACCATAACTTACACATTTGAACGCGCTCCAACGGTGGGAGGCAAAATGTATTTAACCAGATCAGATACCTGGCTATCACGTTTTATACTATGGTATATCACTCCGCGGTGGGAATAATCTAGTACGTACATGGTGCCGTCATTTCTTTTTTAACTAGTTCCTTGGTGTCTTCACCACCTCGGCTAGTGTGTTTAACGCATCGCGATGCGTGTACTCTGTGTTTTCCTCGAGGGTGTATACCTCACGGTGGGTGAATATATTCTGCCAGACTGTAATATAACAACACAATCGTGACTGGACACAGAATAGGAACAGACATAGGAGTTAACTATCAATCTATCATGACCTCATCAAATGCATGCCTAGCAGTATATAAACGTAACCTAAACGCCAAGCCCATCCCTTATTAAACCACAAACCTAAATCTTCTGACTCACCCCATCCTCCTATCCGTCTCTGCAGAAGTCGCCTTCTCACCATTATCAGGACTTAAATAATCTGCATCCTCAGCAGCTTCATACTCGGCAATCAAGTCAGCCACCACTTCCCTCGCCTCATCAAACTCGTTGAGATTTTCTGAAAAAGGAGCCGTCTTCTTGTACCCTTCCATGAAGGCGTTGCGCTTGCGCATACCATCGTACTGCCTCACGATGCGTTTAAACAACTACCCGCAGTGTTAATACATTGTCCGAAACGTTTCGTCATTGGCTTGCGAAGAACATACAGTCGCAATACTCGTGTGGTTGGCAAGCATGAGCCCACTAACCCTGTGGCTCATAGGGATGTACGGGCTCCTCTTGGTCAAGGCTACCTGGATACTCGCCGGACCCCAGGGGATAAACGTCGCCAGTCTACGTTCTCGAATACGCAGTAGACTCTTGTGGACGTCTGTGGGGTCAACTTCGCCCTGGATCACGTTCAGGATGGAAATGTAGCAGCTCTTTTTGCCGGGAACAGTAGAGACCATGCGATTCTTGGGCTGGAGGAGTCGGCGCATGACGTCGAGCACTGTAGTCTTTCGCACAGTCTTGGCCTGTTCGACTTGATCGCCTGTGAAGGGGGTGTAGGCTGTCATGAGGAAGTGGCATCTAGGAGTTGGGATGAGGGACGCGAGGATGCTGACGAGATCGTTGTGCATGTAGCCTGGATATCGGAGAGTCGTGGTGCTAGCCGACATGACGGTAGCAACCTATTCATGTTAGCAACGGCTTTGTCTCTGATAATTTCCCACTGCAGAACGTGAAATCAAGCAGTGAGGGCTTTTTTTCGACAGAGTTCACAGTCCAGAACTTGGAACAACAAGATGCTCCCTCCCGGACCACAAACCCTAGGCCAAAAACCAAAGTCAAACATCTGCCCTCTCAATAAAACCAAAAACATACCAACTGATTCGTCTGTCCAAAACTCGGCTCCTGAACATGCAGCCTATCAGCCGCAATATGCGACAACGCCCCATTATCCAGCACCACAACCGAATCCGCATTCTGCGTTAGCCGCCTCATCGAAAGGATACTGTTGTACGGGTGCACCACCACATCACCCGAGTTCGTCGTATCTGGGAACACGGAATACGTCTGGATAATCTTCTTGGGGAACCGATCGTTGAGCCGCTCCAGGAGGAAGCTGCCCAAGCCGGAGCCCGTACCGCCCGCAATGGAGTGCAGCATCATGAAGCCCTCGAGGGAATCACTACCGTCGGCCTCGCGGTCAATCATCTCCATGATGTCCTCGCAGACAGCCTCACCAGACTGGTAACCGTCGCCCCAGTTGTTGGCGGCGCCCACGCCATTTTTGCCGACGTAGAAGTTTTCGGGGTTGTAGATGTTCTTGTATGGGCCGGTTTGGATGCCGTTGATTACCTGCGCTTGTCAGTTTGAACTCCTTGGTTTTGCTCCTCGCTGCGCTCGCGGATGAGGGAGGGTTGATGTGTAGACTCAAACAACTCCTCGCTTCGTCATATCTGGACGGAAGAGCAACTCCTTGCCGCGCTCGTGTAGACAGAAACATGGACATTTGAGAATCTTCCAGACAAACCGCCCCCCAGCCAAAGCGAGCGAAGCGAGGCCCCAAAAAAAAAACCTACCCTCGGCTCAAGATCAATCAAAATCGCCCGCGGGATATACCTCGTATCGTCGCTCTGGTAGTAAAACACATCCTTGCGGTCGCCGCCCTCGGTCGCAAAATCCTCCAAGTTGCCGTCCTGGCTAATGCCATGCTCCAGACACAGCTGCTGCCAGAACTGGCTGCCAACTAAAGGGCGAGTAAAACTCCCGTCAGCATCGGCCTCGGTCTCCTGAAAAAGTCCCACCAACGTGTCGAGAGCAACTTTGCAACGCAGGTCGGGGGATGGGAATGGATGGTGCATGGTCACGTCACCGCCATGAGGCGGACAGAGAGCCAAAGGGGAGAAAAGTACGTACTGCTGTTGCCGCACTGTCCGGCCTGAATGGTAATAATCTCCCTAGAGACGAGTCAGCTGAATACTGCAACGGCCAGTAGGTTCTGGATGGAGAGAACAAACCGTGGCATGGTGGCTGGCTGCACAAGAACGTTGCAAGCTCAAGGTTGCCCGGCGGTCGACCCAAGACGCGACGACGCGACTGGTCTGGTTTGGAGCTGCTCTGTCGTCCTGTGGGAGCATTTTTTTTAGTCGTGGACATGGATGGATGGGACCCCGCCCCCGCGTTTCACAACTACGTGTACATAGAATAGATATCAAATTATATGGGCTTCGTAGGCCTAGACACAAAGCTTCAAGCAGTAAATATTCCATTTTACAGAAAATATACACTTCCAATACCATATACCACATCTTGAGAATCTCAAAAACAAATGTGACGATTGCAATGCTCTAACAACGCCGGTGATTTGATGCTCCCTATACCTTACCTGTTTTTATGACCAATCCAACTAGCAACGTTGGCATGCGCCTTTCCTATGCTCAATGCTCGTCCATTCTTCAGACCATATTAACTTAATTACTTTACTTCTTATTGGCTTCCTTATTCTTCTCCAGCGACTCTGCCAATTCCTTGGCAAGGTCCTTTGTCTTGACCTGAAGCATCCACGTCTCCAACCCATCTCCCTTCTCGTTCGACGTTGTCAGTTTGACATACTTCTCATCGGCCTTGTATGTCAAGTTTGGCAGCAGTGCACGGTTGAGGGCCACGTGGCCACGCGGTTCCGCACGCAACAGTAGTCGGACAAGCTTCGTCTCTTTATGCTGCAACAGTCGCAGTTGTCCTACTCCCTGCGTGGACCAAGGGCTCTTCGACTTGGGCTTATCCTCGTCCGACTTCTCAGATGCGGGAACAAACTTGAGAACCTTGGCTCGAACTTCATGACGTACTTCCTCCTCGTCGTTGACGCTGTCCGTTAGGTTAATCTGCTCGTGTTTCTCGCCATCTTCGTTGGTCGCTTCGCCATCCTTGGCTGTGTCTGCTTGCGTTGAGGGCTCCGGAGTCCCAGCAGCCGGCGTTGTGGCCAAGCTTGAGCCGCCCCCGAAATTCAACGGAGAGTCTATACCCGTCGCTTTAGCGGCGCAATTTTCCGGTTCGGAAAAGGAGACTTACTGGTTCCGGTGGTTGTAGATCCACCAGCTGGCGGCTGGAGGTTGAAGGCCGGGACAGCTTGGTTGGAACCAAACACGGAACCAGTCCCCTGTGGCGCGGCGCCTCCAGCCGAGAAATTGAAAGAAGGAGCGCTGCCAGATCCCGAGGCGCCACCAAATATGGGAGCTGCATTGTTGGTACCTTGGTTTGCTCCGAACACCAGGCCACCGGTGCCAGTTGACGTGGATGCGTTGCCACTGCTACCACCAAACTGAAAGGGAGAGGTTCCAGCAGGCGTAGATCCAGCGGCAAAAGGAAAGGCAGCCCCGGAACCAGGCGCAGCCGCCGTCGTAGCGTTGTTGCCGCCTGCCGAGGAAAAGGGGTTGTTGAAGCTGCCCTTTGCTGCTCCGTCGGTACTCGCGCCGCCAAAGTTGAAGGTGAAGCCGGCCGAACCGGAACCAGTGTTTGACGATGCACCAGCAAAGATGGGGGCAGCGCTGGCGGTGCTACCATCTTGCGCAGGTGCTGATGATGCCGCAAAGATACCAGACGTAGAGGCTGGCGGTTGGCTGGTAGCACCAAAATTGAACAAAGGAGCTGAGCTTCCGTCCGCATTACCACCATTAAACATCTTCTTCTTAGCGGGAGACGGGTCATCCTGTTTCATGGGGCTACCAAACATATTGTTTCCCGAAGAGGGAGGTGACTGTGGCAGGCTAAACTGAGGCTTGGATGCAGTCGCAGATGGAGCCCCGGTATTGCTGCCACCAAAATTGAAAAATGGCTTCGGCGTGTCTGCCTTGGCAGCAGTTGAGTCGGTCGTGGCTGCGGGCGCGGCTCCAAACAAAGATTGCTGCGGCTGTGTAGTGGGAGTCGCGGCACCACCTCCAAAAATGCCGCTGGCAGTGCTGGCAGGCTTGGATCCGAAGAGAGTTCCAGCATTGCCTGTTGCAGGCGCGGCTGTAAAAGAAGAAGTATTGCCAAACAGACTGGCTGCGGGCTTGGGGCCTTCAGCAGTTGTAACTTTCCCAGGCTCGGTGGGCTTGGCTCCAAACAGGGTGGATGAGGTTGACTCGGCAGGTTTGCTGACCTGACCAAACAGGTTGGATGCGCTGGTTGCTGTTGTCGTCTCGGCAGGCCTCGCAGCATCAGGCTTGGCTGCGAAGAGATTAGCGACCGGTTTGGGGGCTTCGGCAGCTTTTGGTACTTCGGCTGCGGCTGGCTTAGACTGAAGTGACGAGCCAAAAGGCGATGGTGCTGCCGCGGGCTTGGTGTCAAAGAGGCTCTTTTTAGACGATTGCGACTCGTTCTCCTTGTCCGACTCGCCGCCATCTCTGCCGCCCTCACTCGCATTGGCCCCCGTCGACGACTCCTTGGCAGCTGGCTGCTCCTGCTTTGTGGTAGCAAAGAAATTGGACGCCGCAGTCGCCTTGGGAGCAAAGATGGTGCTTCCAGAGTTAGCCCCCGAAGTGCCAAAAAAGGAACCAGCAGCGGCGGGAGTAGAAGATGGCGCAAATTTGATGGGCGTGGTCGATGGATTCCAAGTCTGGTCTGTAACGGCCGGCTTCTCCGAGACTGGCTCAGAAACGACTTCAGAAACGGCTTCCGACTCTGGCTCAGGTTCGGACACCTCGATCTTCTCCTCAATACGGATGGGCTGGCCATCGCTTCCTTTTGTAACCCGATCGAACAAGCTGGCTCCAATCTGCGATCCAGTATCTCCAGCGCCACTAGCGACAACACTAGGCTCATCACTTTGGCCAGCCTCTTGGCTACCATCCTGGTCCGAGTCGGATTCACTCTCGGCATCAGCATCGATGCCGCTGTTCTTAGCGGAGCTGGCATCTGACAAATAGCCAAAAATGTTGCTCCCAGCGCCTCCGTGGCCCGCCTGAGTACCAGGAGGCTTCAAATTGGTGAAGACAGTGCGAGCCAAGCTGCTGCTTGCCGCTGGTTTGTTGGCACTGAAGGGCTTCAACTTCGGCGCGGGAGCAGCAGTTGGTCCTTCAGCAGTCTTGGTATTATTGGTGATCTTCTCCAATAGCGACTTGGCAGACGAAGGAGTCGGCTTCTGCATCTTTGAGGGCTGTTCCTCGCTCACCGATGCCTTCCTCTTGTTCTTGCCGACGGAGGGGGCCGGGGTGGTCGCAACAGAGGCTACCACGGGTTCAGAATCGTCGCCCACAGCTCGACGTTTGCCCTTCGAGGCCGGTGTTTCTGAGTACTCTTCGGTAGCCTTTCGCTTCTTGGATGGGGCGGTCTTCGAAGGGGTCGCCTCGGATTCTTCTTCATCCTCTGGCTCCGGCAGACCATGCTCACGGCGCCACCTCTTGAGGACATCTTTGGATGGCTTGACGTTTTGGAATTCGTACAAGCCATATCGAAGAAGAATGATGCTTCGGCTCTTCTCAAACTCCTTTGCAAAATTGATGACGTTCAACTTCCAATCTTTTCTGGCAAAGATCTCGTTTGCAGCATATTTCAACCGCCTTAAGTCGAGAACACAGAAGAATTGGCGGCGTTGCTCTTCATCAAGTTCGGGGGGGCAAAGATGTGCTAGGAACTGGTCCGCGTAGATGGAGCCCTTGGCGTTCCACTCCTTGGGAACCTTTTGGGTCAATACCTCACCCGTCAACTCTGGCGGGGGGGAAGCAATGCGCATCGGGAACAGTTCTTTGTTTGTAGTCTTGGCTGCCATGCCGCGGGGAGTGGCCTGTGCGATGGAGTTGCGGTACATTCGCGACGGCTCTGGAGTAGCACCAGGAGCAAAGACCTTTTTCATCGTGCTATTGGGGATACTCGGGGAGAACGAAGACGTGGGAGGGCTTTCTGTGATGGTGGATGCTCGAAAGATATTTCGTGCCGTGGCGATGGAACTTTGATTAAGACTGCTGGCTGGGGCCTCGTCGCGGGTCGTCAACAGCTTCCTAGCTGATGAAGTATGAGGCGTCCCCAGGCGCTTTGCGGAAGAACTGCCGAAAGGGGACGCAGTAGCATACGCGCGCTTTGCAAATGGTAGCGGAGGTCGAGATCTAGGAGTACCATTGGTAGTAGGTTCGACGACATCGTCGCCGGGAATGGAGAAGGTGACCATTCTCTAGTGGCGAAGGGGAGGAAGAAGTTGAGGGCGGGAGGGCAAGGACGGCGGTCGACGAGAGAGCGTGCTCAATAAAGGAGATGAAAGGGAGGCGATGAAAAAAAGGTAGATTCGGTACAAATGATACGACGAGGAGGAGATTTTGTCTCGAGTCGTCGTCAGGTTGAGGAGTCGAGTTGCCCCTAGTATATGATGGGTTCGTGTCGGACGCTCAGGAAACTTTTTTTTTCTGGGGCCGAAGGTTAGGAGCAAAGGAGAAGAAAGAGTCCGCCAGGCCCAAAATAGCAGAACGGCCAGACCAGCAAGCGGCTTTAACAGGCTTGCAAAGAACCGTGCAACCTAAAAAGATGATTGACAATGGTCTCTGCGAAGAAGGGATGGGCACAGATGCGCAAGAAGCAGTCGCATCTGTTCGCAGGCCAGGACGCGCCGTGTGGTTTTTGCGGGTTTGCGGGTTGCGAGGAGAGCGAGTGTGAGCGAGTAAGAGCAAGTCGACCGAGTATGAGAGAAACCAGGTGGCTTTTTAGCGCGGGCTGGCCGTGCAGGGTGCAGGTGCAAGTGCTGCCAGCGTGTGCCCCTTTGCCCTTTCCGAATTTCTGGGAACTACATAAGTACCGTGCCTACCGTCCTCTAGGTAGATAATACATGTATGGAGTACTCCGTACCGAGTGCTACTACTGGAGTGCGTGCAACCAGACTCTTGCTCGATGACCTCGACTCGACACGACTCGACTCGACATGGCCACTGCACTCGGGGCCGCCAAAGCACGCAAAAAAGCAGGGAAAGCGTATGGGCAGCCACCCACTCTGACGGTCTGACCACAGACCAGCTTGCCAGCCAAGGTCCTCGTCGAGTCTGGTGCCTTCAGTCTGCACCCACACTCATCACCACGGCGAGGGGGTCATCGGCTGCTATGGTTGGCTGGGGCTCTTCCAAGTTGACCCACCCGACCTCGTCGCCGGCCCGCCCGCTCGCGGGAATCGAGTGAATCAAGAACCCTTGTGCGACCGCAGTGGCAACCTGGAAGCCTTACACTTCTACGCTAGTCACCTCAAATATCAGGCATCAAAATGTCAAGTGCCACGCAAACCGGGTATGCGTCGATTATCCCGGGATACTCTTGAGGACTCGGTTTATTTGCTGTCTCTCCTACGGGAATAGTCACGCAAGTCGCGTACTACTCTATCCGCCTGGGAATTACGGTAATGACTTGTTGTCTTTACTAGTGGCTTATCGTGTCACGGAATACCATTTGTCACATGATCTGTCCTCTGAGCTCCTTCAGCTGCAGTTTTCCACTTTGATGTCCTATGCTTATCACCGTAATTCCTGTCTAGTCTGGTAGACAACGAGACAAAATTATAATTTCAAAACAAGCACAGTTCTTTCACATCGGCGCAATTCCAAGAGGTCGATTTAAAATCCTATCTGGTGACCTAGATAAGTAAACGAGTGATATTTTCTCCCCGTCTTATGTCCCATGTGTCCCGCTCGGCTTGGATTGATGAAAAAGTCCTTACCAGCAGAACCACGGACTTGAGGAGATGATCTTAGCCCCAAGCACCCTCAGATGGGGCAGATAAAAGTAACGCAAGGAAAAGTTACAGTTCAGCCGGTAATATAACAACACAGAAACAACAGCAAACATACCCATCGGCGAGCACTGCTGCTGGTCTTCACGCAGTGATACAGCGCATATCTACTTCTTTAAAAGCTTCTTCTCCTGCTCTTCCAGAAACTCCTCGTCTGAAGCATCCAGAATGTCGTACTCCTCATCTGTCAGGAAGCCATCCTCAGAAGCATCCCACTCATCGTCCTCGTCACACTGTCCAAAGCCATCCTCGGCAGAAGCAAGAGGACTCTCGGTCTCGGCATCCTCGTGCACGCTGGCACTTGGTGATTCCTTCTCGAGCTTGGGGAAGATCATTACGCTGCTGGACTGGCTGGGCTCGCCAACGGGCTCGTTCTTGACTGAAGTCGGAGAGGACTGAGCCTGTGGCTTGGCTTCAGGAGCGGCAACCGCTCGAACATTGACCTCACACCACAGACGGTGTCCGAATCGCATGCCATCAGGAGTTGTAAGACGCCAGTATGAGATCATCTTACCCGAGTGGATCGGTGTACGGAGCAGAGCGGTGAATGAGTATTCTTGTCCGGGAGCAAGAGGAGCATAGCAGATAGTAGACTCAGAGGCAGAGACAAGTTCAGAAATACCAGCCGGGTGAGAAGAGTCAACGTGACCCATGTAGTCACCGCCAACATACTTGACACAGCACCCAGCGGGCCAGGAAGTAGCGCCTTCATTTCGAAGGATCCAAGTCTGCTCAAACACGTGGTTCGGGGGGAAGATGGTACCATCTGCAACAGTATCACGAAGGAACACAGCACGAAGCTCCTCATCCTTGACTTCGGTCGTCGGAGCCGGTGGAGCTGCGACAGAATCAAGCTCAGACTTGGCAAGTGGCTTCTCGGAGGGGACCGGTGGTGGGATATCTGCCTCAGTAGGCTTCACATCGACGACGGTTTGCACGGCATTGACAGCGTTGGCGGCTGAAGAACCAACGGTCTCGGTAGCCTTGGAGATGGTGCTGGATCGGTCGCCCATGGCAGGCATACGCTTGCCGTCCTGGTGCTCACCAGTCGTGGTGACACTGACATGACGAACCGGTGTCTTGAATTTGATCAGTGGGTGTGTCTTGTTATGGTCATTGGCAGGGCTGGCCTCGCAGTTGGCACAGAAATCGAGATCGTGGCACACAGCACACTTGTAGCGGATGCCTCGGATGTAGGAGGTTATAGCATTAGAGGCACTGCACAGGGGCCCATCGCAGCAGATGCCCATGTGCACAGGCTGGGAGAGAAAAGAGGTGTGAAGATCCGCAAGGGGCTCATAAATAGCTGCGAATCGGTGGTTCGGGTGCACGAAGTGAGCGTTCTCGGCGCACTCGGCGCAATAATCCCAGTCGGGGCAGTCGAGGCACTTGTGACGGACCCCAGTGATGTACTGTGTGGTTTCCAGTCATTAGAATCAAACTCTTGCAAAACCCAGTGCTTGGTGCGTGTCACTTACAGCATCGCATCCATCACAGATGGCGTGGTGGACCTGGTTTCGGCCAGAATTCATCTTGACTCGTATGTGAGTAGGCATCTCAGTGCCTGGCACTGCAGCTGTGAAGGCGTGCTTGGGGTGGTGGCCGTGGGCATCCTTGGCGAAGCATGGCTGGCAGAGGTCATAATCCTCACAATCAGTGCAGTGAAGGAACTCACGCTCAGGCAGTTCTGTGTGATGCTGTCAGTCAGTAAGATAATTTCTCCCAAAGTCGGATCGCAGCAAGAACAATCTCAAGAACAGAACAAAGTAGACGGGAACTCACCTCGAACGCACTGGTTGCATGTGCGCATATTTCCCACAGCAGCAAATCGAGCGATTGCACGCTGGGTGACGGGTTTCGCGAGTCTGGTGCAGAAATACTCGGCTGGGGGAAGGGTCTGTTTCTCAAATAGCCCAGGGAGAAAGATTTCCTTCTCCGAGTCATCTACCTTGGCTGCGTCGTCCTTGGGAGCCGCGTTGGCCACGAGCTTGAGTTTGGGAGCAATGGTCTCAGTTGTGCTGTTAACAATCTGGCCATTATTCATGATACGCTTAATCAGCCAGTGATCATCACTGTAGCAGGTAATGCCCTGGTCGACGCAAGACTGGCACAGGTCAAAATCGCCATCGTCACAGGTAGAGCAGTGATAGTGAGCATCCGGGATGCTCTGTTCACAACTGTTGCAGCAAACGGCGAACATGGCGCCGGTGGCGGGGCAGACGGGCGAAAGTGGCTCGGACGGCTCAGGAGCATTTGATGTGGTAGTGAATGGCTGGCAGCTGGCCATCTGGGAAGTGAGGCTGGCGAGTTCATCGGTCGACTTCATGACCTGTCTGATGTGATTATGGAACTCGGCCTGATGATCCTGAATAATCTTGGCGGCTTCTTGCAACAGATTTGAGTCGTACTGTTTTGTGAGTGTGGTGCGGGCAGAGCTGGCTGCATCGAGAGGCGTTGGGTTGGCACATGCAAGCTCAGGCTTCTCGATAGGAGTGGTCTGGGCAGACTCAGAGGCGTCTTCGATAGTGACGGGTTTGGGAGACGATGCATCGCTCTGGGGCAAGACGGACACACGAAGCTTGAGCTTCGACTTTGCCTTGGCGGCTCTATACAGCTGCTTGTAGACAGGCATGTTGGAGGCATCTAGCATGACAAAGGCAGCGGCAGAGTCGGAGTAACGCTCGATCATGATCTTGGTATCGGTGGGGATTTGCAGAAATATTCGAATCTTACAAAGGACGTGGTGAGCAAGCGTTGAAAAGGAAGGCAGGTTCTGCCTTTGGCTCGGAATTCGCGGTTGACAGCAAACTTACGTGTTCCTCGAGAACGCGAGGGACCATCTCACGCAGAGGCATCTTTGCCCTGCGAGTGACGCCCTCGAAGGTCACCTTGATGGTGACCATGGCATCGGGGCCAGCATGAGAAACCGACGACATGTTGACGATGAATGCAGTGTCTGTGCAAATGGCAAGGTCAGCAAGATGCTGCGTTGGTGTTGTTGAAGTCAAGGATGAAGCGGTATCGAGACCGGCGGTCGGGGACAGCATGGACTTACGACAGGGCGGTGACGAATCGATGGGGTCGAGGCCAATCAAGTCCGCTTAATATTGGTAGCACCACACTGGGGTTCTGGATTCAATGTTAGGGGGGGGCCGGCGGAGAGTGCTAAGGTGCTGGCGGGAAGTGGTGACTGCGAGGTGCAAGTGGTTCAAAGTGGCAGGCACCTGAGCTCTCCAAGCGGGCTGCGAGAGTGGAGTACCTGCGTGTGTGCGTGGGCGGGCAGGGCACACTCACTTAAATACCTCCAGTGCCTAGGCTCGGGGCCAAGAGGCAGCTATGACAATTACGCGGCTACAGTGCCCGGCGGCGGCGAAGGACGAAGAGCGCTGTCGAAAGAGGCGAATCGTAAACGCCGAGGCTGTCGGTGGCGGGGAGGAGAATGAATGTGTGCTGTTTAAATACTCGAATGCTCGCAGCGTCACACGGCTGTTTTGCGGGCATGCACTGAGCTCTGAGAATCAGGATGCAAGATGTCGATGCAGCATCTCAGTAAGCTTGAGGGGCCTTGGAGTGCTTATTAAAGTGCTCGTCTGGTCCAGTGGCCCAGTCGTTCACTGTTCCAGGGCTGGAGAGGAATGCGGAGGTGAGAGCTCTAACATTGAATGAATTGATGTGGACGCGCACGGATTCGGGGAGCTGTGGAACTAAAGACGCCCTGTGGCCCTCGAGTGCAGCAGTGGAGCAGAAGGGGCGTCTGGGGTCACGGCAATCAAGTCCATCAACTCCTGGTTCGATCCTTGGTCGGAGGTCAAGAGTGACGAAGGGCGCTCCGGGGTGCTCAAGACTCAAGTACTAGCACGACGCTTCCATCATTTTGCTCCCTGCCCCACGTTCGGGTATGTATTTTCAATTTTCCAACAGTCTGATTACCCTTGATGGACAACGTCTGTCGTGTTGGCCCGTGAATTTCGAGCTCGTCCTCGGCGAGAACACCAAGACATCCGGGCTGCCGGGACAAGTCTGGTCCTTCCGTGTCAATTCCAATTCCGCGTCAGGTGAGAAACATGAGACTTGGAGCCACCCAGACCCCAGCCTGTCGTGTATGATGGAGTTAGTCTGATGCATCAAGCCCAAGTAGCAACAGCGAGCGAGCTTAATCATAAGAGCGAGCAAGGCCGAGCCAACAGCGAAAGGGGTGGCTTGGCCACGACGGGCGCCAGTGACCACCATTACTACTACAACCCTCCGTACTCAGTATGAGCTTGCGAATTATACGTCTGCGAGGCGGTCCTGCTTGCTTTTTGACCCGTCTTTAGTACCAGAGTACTTTAGTTATTGACTCTGTACCGAGTACCGAGTACCGAGTACCAAGCAAGACAGCTTGGGTCGTCTCGTCGTTTGTCGCCTGTCAGGTTGGTTCCAATGTCGCAGCAAGACCAATGAATTTGGGCCCCCAAGGCAGACCAGACAAGTTGACAAGACAAGGTCTGGCACAACAAAGGGACAGCCTACGTCTGGACTCTGGATGGCTCGAGTGGGGATATATCAAGTCGAGTGTAGCCAAGCAGCCACGCAGCCAACCGCAAGGCAAGGTCTCGAGCTTGTCGATCCAACGCGATGTGACTGATCCAGTGCCAGAGTCGAGATACAACGCTTGCACAACCGCAGCGTGCCTCGACGCCTGGCTGCCTTGCAAATGCATCAAGCCCTGACACGAAATGCGGAATCGGACCAGCATCTGCCCACTCTGCAACTTTCTGGCGTTGGCACAGCCCATTCGCTCTTTGCGCGTCCTCTCTGGGATACGATGCCCCAAGGTAACCCGCGGACTGGCTGCCCGGGTACCTAGGCAGTACTTAAGGACGGAGCACAGAACATCCGGTTGCCGGCGACATGTCCAAATCACGTCGTCTTTTACCAAGAGACGTGCCAAACAAGACCAATCCCGCCCCATGCGGTGAGCACAGCGCAAACACAAATCCACCACGATTTCCAAACCTTGACCCATCCGTCCTCGCTCCCTTCCCCGCTCTTTTGGTGGCAGATGCAAAAGTGGAGACTGTCCACAGACTCGCTTCTTTCGCGTCCACCTTTTTACGGCTGAGCTACCCGAACGAGTAGCACCACTTGGCCGTGCAGGGGTCATGAATCCGTGAATCCATGATCCTTCATATCATCGTCAAAAGTCATCAATAGCATTTTTCGTACGGCGTACCCCAGGCCTAGTCAGCGAGGCCTGTCTACCATGCATGTATTTGATTTTTTTTCTTTCTTTTTTCAAAAAAAAATCCGCATGACATGCATTCATACTGACATGGCTTTACTCGGCGATATCCTGTACTCCGTACTCTGCATCAAAATACATACATAGTACAGCCCGATTCCTGTCCGTCCGAGGCATACATACCTGGGTACTTTGCCCAAGACAGCATCATGCAACGGGACGCCATGACACCAGCCGACGTGTTGATGATTCCAAGACACGCCAGTTGAAATTTCCCGCACTAGCAAATAAATCTTGCCCATGACCCAGGTCTGCTGCGCATCCTACACGCACCACGGGTGTCGCGGAGAGCGGCAGCTGGTGGCGGCGGCAGATAGGCTGCAGCGACGCGAGGCTCCCAAGAATTTAGCCTCAAGCACGAATCTCGAATCTTGCGCGCAACGAGCTAGCTTAGCTGGTAGTAATACAAGTCCACTTTCGAGATCAGATCAAATACCCAAGGGTTGTGCAAAAGCCGATTCCTGGCAGCGCATAGCGTTTGCTCACTAAGGACCAGCAATATTACCACTTCTTCGCCCCTCTCATTCTACATCTTGGACACCAACATGCAGTATTCTGGTTCTTTTCCAGCAGTACGGAGTATAAAAGTAATAAATAAATAAAGAGATACTATGTAGTAATTCATATTGGCAAGCCAGGGATACAGGCGGCCGCACCACCATATCCTATGTATGGAGTATGCACCCTGGCTTTTTGCTCTCGCATCGGTGACCCCACACGAGCTTGGAGCTTGGAGCTCTCTAGACACTATCTTTAGTTCCAGGCCCAGGCTTTGATGCGCCTTGCTAGGGTAGATGGATAATACCCCATACATAAATCCGTTCATTCCCCCTCAAATTGAATGCGATTTGTACTTGGACATCGAGAACGCATAGTGACAGTAGTCTAAGGCCCTCCCCCCCCTTCCAACGACGGCTACATGCAGCCGCCGAACCAAGTAGCCTTTTCCGCACGAGGCATCCAGCAACATGGACACAAAATGACATAAAATGACATAAAAGTGGCCCCTTCTACTCCGAACCACCTGCTTAAATCGAACACAATGGCGTAACTGAAACATCAACTCGCTGGTAACACGGCCGCGATACACAAAACCTCGTCTTCCCCCCTCCCTCCTTTCCCCCAAAATGGCAAACACCCCACGCCAGAAATATCCTTCTCTCCGGGTCATCCATACGTATATCCATCGGATGGGCACGGCACAAAAAGGACCGTCCTTAGCCACACCCACCACAGCTCTATGGCCTCGCCCAAAAAGATGATCCTAATAATACATAACAAAGCTGCATACCTAATAATATAGGCAAAAATTCTGTCTTCACAAGTTACAACTCCCCCCAGAACTTCCCCCCCAGCTCCCCCAAGACCAACCAACAGCCCAAAGTAGTGCTATTCCACGCGCAGCCGTGTATGTTCATCGCCCCCTTTTCCAGAGCATGTAACTATTGTATGTACTTAAGTATGTATGCATGGCCGTCACCAAGCTCACACGGCATAGCAAAACACAGCCACATGCTACTCCAAAGTGCCCGGCCCGGGTAACATACTCTCAACGGCACACGTGCACCACGCTCGGCTCCGTCACGCCAAGGTCTCCAGAACCAAGAACAAAAAACACGCAGGCAATTGCAGCTCAAGCCAGACTCCAAATGTCGGCCGCCCTGTTTCCTGTCCCCTAAAAAAAAAGTAGTACATACTACCTATTATCGCCGTCTTCTGCGTTCCCCGGCCGCGGACGCTTTTGTCCAACCGACCCCACCGATGGAAGTCGAGCCCATCCACAAACCTTCTCTTGTAGATAATCTTGGCCCAGCCCGCCCGTTCTCGCGTCGAACCCGACCAGTAAGTACCGGGAACCTAGAGGCCGGTGGTTGACATCATCGAGCGGCAGGCCAATAAATCATCCCCAGGTCATGAGCCGCACAAATGATAGTTCATCTGCTCCCGATAGTTCCGAGGGGGGGCCAGGTCGTCAGCCCGCACAAGATTAGAGTTGACCATACATTCATTACTCATCGGCCCGTAGCCCTGCTCCCTTTTGCTCTATACCCAGAAGAATCTCAACCATGTGCTTATTGGCCCTCGTTCTCGTTTACACGCACCAGGCATCGCGCCGAATCCAAGCCCCTTTCTTTGCTCACAAGTCACTTTGGCGGCATGAAGCTCAAGTCCTTTGCATTTCAGGTTTCCTATATAATGCTCCCAACACCCAAAACGCCGCTGCCATGAACAGCTACAACCAACAGGGGGAGGCATCTCAACTCCGCTTCAGACTTAAGAATGATGTGATAAGCTAATCGTGTCAAAGGAAAAGGAGAGAAAATAAAAAGGTCACATCCAAAATCAAAGGAAACCAACCCCGGTATGAGCTTTTTGAGTCGACAAACACTACAGGATATCCAGCCCCCAGCCAGCTCAACAACTACAACCGCAACAATGCCCTGCTTCCTGCAAGAGAACCGCTGTTGTTTGCAACCCTTCTGCACCCCGAGCTGCCGAATGACCGCCACCTGGCTTGCCAACACTCGGCAAACCCTCTCCATACTTCTTCATCCCAACACAAGAGAGACTAATGCCCACCAGTAAGCGATGAATGTCCTACACAGTAACAACCCGGTCTCAAAGGAAAGAAGGGGGGGAATAATTCTTGTC